TGCGGCGGTTCACGGTGTTAAAGTAACAGTCCACTATGATTGATGACATGGCAAATGACATGATAGATGGGCCAAATTGTTTTTTTTCCTTGTTCGAGAGCCAAATTAGTTTTTCTTTTAAAGTTCAAGGGCTTATTTATTTTTTAAAATAATTGTTTAAAATTTTAAAATAATAAAAAAATTAAATATAAATATACAATTATTAAATTATTAAAAATTTAAAATATATATTTTAAAAATACTAAAAATAATATGAAAAAATAAATAAATGTATATCTTAAACTATAAAATGATGACTTATAAATTACTAATTTTTTTAAAAAAAAGATATATTATACATAATATATGCATGTAACATATATGATCAACACTTATATAGTTATATAAAATATTTTTACTGGATTATTCGAGACTTATAAATTTTGTATTTAAATATGATTAGAAAAAATATTAAATTTTTTGTATCAATACACACATTTAAACATAATTCAAGCAATACTAAGGACTATTCATAAACCCTTGCACACCATCTAATAAGTTAGTATATAAAGTGACACTTAATAATTATCTAATATGATTAGATTTGTGTATTGATGCGTGCAATTTATGATGTTTTCTAGTTATATTTAGATACAAAAACTATACATCTCTATTAATTCCGTTAGAGTACTTTGTATAAGTGTTGATGATATGACCATATGTTAGATGTATATATTATGATAATACATATTTTTGAAAATATTTTGATTTTTTAATAATTTATTTTTTATCATGTTATAGCTTATGATATATATTTAATTTTTTTTAATTTTAAATAATATTTATAGTATTTTTAAAATATTTTTAAATTTTTTAATATTTAATTTTTTTGATTTTTGAATATTTTATATATTATATTTTAAACATTTTATTTTTTTTAAAAAATATGCCTCTTCATTTAAAAAAAAACCAAATTTGCCCTCGAACAAGACCAAAAAACCAATTTAGTCCAGCTACCACATCATCAGCAACCTTGGACCATCGCATCAGCATTGTAAACTATCACAACAGTATCGTGAACTGTCACATCAGCATCATAATGGTCAACGATGAAAATTGTTGGTCAAATAATCTTATTGTGTTTGTGTTCTGAGTTGAAGGATCACGTTGGATAAAAAATAATTCCATAAAGACATTAATTTTTTTAAAGTACATAGGCATCTGATGCTTTTTTTCTTTTATTGTATGAACCACTAGATACAAATATAATGACAAAATATATTACTCAAAAATAAAATTATAAATAATAATAATAGAAAAACTTACACGTCTAGTAGTGGTGTTCAATCAGTCGGTTCGGTTAATCGATCGAATCGAACTTTCAAAATTCTATTAATCAATTTTTTTTACTTTAACTGTTAATCGGACCAAAAATTTTCGAAAATAATTAACCGAGCCGAACAAAGTTTGATTAATCGGTCGGTTAACCAAATTATATAAAATTTTAAATAATATATATTATATATTAAATATATTAATATTTTTGGCTAATTCAGTTAATCCGATCGGTTAGTTCGGTTGATTAATTCGGTTAAAACCAAAAATTTAAACACACCTAAAACTATTAATAAATAAATAATATAAATAATATATTAAAAATTTAAAAATTCTTGTTAATTAACTAATTTCTAACTGAATTAACTGATAACCGAACTTTGAAAAAATCATTAACTGTAATTCAACCGAGCTTAAAATTAACTGACCGATTAACCAAATTTTTTTTGTTTGGTCGGTTAAATCGATTAACCGAAATTTTGAACACCCCTAATGTCTAAGATTAATTAAAAATATAAAGTTTGATATAACTCGTGCTAAAGAGTATAACCAAGTATGAATGATGATCAACGATGAAGAAAAAGCAATTTTGGAAAAGAACAGAAACTAAATTGATAAAAAAAATTAAATATAATTGATCAAATTTGTTAAATTATTTTAAATTAGAACCAAACTGATATAATATATAATATTTGAGGACTAAAATCATATCAAGACACTTAACTATTATGTCTAATATTTAACAGTCCAATTATATGTTTGTAATATTTAAACTAAATGATTAAATTATAATGTTTAAAAACTCATGATCCATTTGTAATTTGATTAATAATTGAGTAACATTGACCAAATGTATAATTATACAAAATATTTTAACTACCACGTGAGATTCTCTGTTAAATAACAATGGGCAATTGGCTTAATTCAATGCATTTATATAGTCGAGTGACCAGATTGATAAAATTTCAAAAACAATGGTCAAAATAAAAGGGGCAATAGTTAGGTGGTCACTCGTATAGTTTACCCTTTATTTTAAATAATTTACCTTTAATTTTTTAACTAATTTATTATTATTCGTTGAGTTCTTTCGAAATTTATATTTTTATAAATTAAATTGATAGTGTTCATTGTTAGTGATACTAAATCATGTTCGTCGAACGTAAAAGAATCATCCTATATTTTTAAGTGTGTATTGCCAGTTTAACAATTTATTAATAACATTACACGTGACCCGTTTTCCCCCTTTAATGTGTATCGCCAGTTTAACATCTAATCATGTTTTGTTTAAATTCAGTTATTGTGATATACATATGTTAAAATTATTGCTATTTGAATCAAAGGATTTTTAAAAAATTGATTGATGTAAAAACTGATTTGATTAATTAAATTAAATTTGAGTAATTAATTTTATAATTTTTTAAATTTAAATGAATTAATTAATTGTAGATTTGATTCGATTCTCAAATTAATTTATTATTTAAATGAATTAAAAATAAGATAAAATACACAAATAATCTCCGACTATAAGATATTATTTTATTAAATCCGTTGACTATTAAAGATTGAAAGGTTAGCTACGCCACATTGACTTGGTTTATACAACGAGTGACTCCAATTACTTCATGTAAGACCCTAACTCATCGCTTGATCCTTTTCTCCACCTTTCATTTGCTATTTAATTGTTGTTATTTCATGCACTTCCCTTGTAATCTCTGCACTGAACATAGTGACCTTATGGATTACTTTATGATAGGTTTATAATATTTAGTTTCTGGGTGTTTTATTTTAGTAAATTCAATGTTTTTCTGACGATCTATTGGCTGGTAGTTCCTGCTAATTTCCGTTTCTCCTCAGTGCTGAACTTTTTCCCAAAAAGTAATGCGGAGTGTTCAACACTGAAAAAAGAAAAAGAAAAAAAGAAGAAGTTGCTTTTGTAATATGGGTTCCAAGTCGTTACAAATGAAAGTGGAATTTACTTCAATTGATATGAGAATGATACCTAATCATTTGTAGTTTAATGTAAAAAAAATTGATCACTTTGGATAATGAATTTACTTTGTTTGATATAAGGTTGATTCATGTTCTTTGGATATTTCTTTTTTTGCTTCGTATATCTCATTTATCTTTTTACTTTCTTTTCAACTTCAGTTAGATGCAAAGTTTGTGTGGAAGAAATCAGAAAATGAAGCTATTAAAGTTTTGCTTGCCGGCAGCCTTTGCATAAATGAACTATTTGGTCAAATAGAGAGCATAATGGAGAGCAAATCTAATAGGGGGATAGATTCAGATGAAAGCATAAAGTGTTCGGAAGTTGAAAACTTTGACGAGCAGGAACTGGTCGATCATGAGCTTTCAGACAACATTGATCTATGCTTGGGAGAAGTCGACAAGATTATAGACGAGTCTACTGAGAGTTTACCTTTGTTAGGCAACGTTGCAGAACCTTATACTGGCATGGAGTTTCAGTCAAGAGATACTGCAAAGGAATTCTATGTTTCTTATGGCAGACACATTGGTTTTACAGTGCGAATCTATCGTGATCGACGTTCATGGATAAACAATACGGTAATAGGTCAAGACTTTGTTTGCTCAAAAGAAGGTTTCCGTCAAAAGAAATATATGTATGGAAAAGACAGGGTTCTACCTCCCCCACCAATCACTCGAGAAGGTTGCCCTGCAATGCTGAGGTTGGCTTTAAGGGATGGGGCAAAATGGGTTGTTACCAAATTTGTCAAGGAGCATAATCACTCATTGATGTCACCTGGAAAAGTACCATGGCGAGATTAGATTTCTAGTTCATCCTATCGTATTCAATATAGATAAGATGATACGAAGTATGGATCAAGATTAGTGAGACGATCTTTCTGGTTTCACACAGCCATTTAGAAATAGAACTGTAAGCGTGCTCAAGTATGATGCACCATGTGCCATCATCCTTTTTCTCCTAATGTTTTCCTTCTATAATGTTTTTTTCCCTTGTGGGATGAAAAGGATCGGAGAATACAGGAGCTAACCCAAGAACTGAACAATGAGAACCAAAAATGTAAATGACGATGTGCTGCTTACCAGGAATATTTATCTTTTTAGAAACAAAGAAAAAATTAATTTGATTTAGGTTAGATAATGATTTTAGTCCCACTATCATGTTCAAATTACGGTTTAGTCCCTTTGATTTGATTTGGTATTCTTTTTAGTTAGTTGGAATTAGTGTTTTCTATAACTCAACAACATTTTGATCGAAAAATTAATTTATTACTTTGACTAACTAATGATATTATATAAATAAAGTATAAGAACTAAATCCCAAATTTGAGAATAAAAGATAAACAAACCATAATTTGACCTTTATTTTATTTTCGGACATTATTAATCCACCCAAATACTACATCGTAAAAGGGGATTAATTGCTGAACAGCTCCCTTAGGCCTTAGCATGAAAGCATAAAATCAATCATAATGGAGGATTGGTATCAAAAGATATATTATAGGTTATGATCCACTTACACCTAATGTAAAACTTTTAATTTTATATTTTTAGGATCGTTAGATAAGTTAAAATAGACGACTGAGATTATCTTGGATTTTTTCTCTTGTGGATATCTTCTTATTTCTTATTGTTAATCTCAATCGTCTACTTGCACTTATTCAATGATCTTAAAATGACGTAAAACTAAAAATTTACCTAGGTGTAAGTAGGTCCTAATACTAAAGAAAACAACATTCAATTTTAGAAATTACGTGGATAACCTATCATCAACATGCAATTATAATTTAAAAGTTAAAAGAAAAATAGTTTCATATAGGTTTTCCTGCCAGGAATCTGCTGTAAAAATCCAAGGCCTCTTGAGGTTTATATTCTGGGACGGTGTGTCCTGCTCCCTGGATTCATATACACATAAAATGATTAGAATCAAACCTGGGAATTTGATAAATTTTACAGTTCACAACATTTCTCTAAAGATGTATCCTTGAATGGTTGATACCTTTATGGTTAAAAAGGTCAAGTTGTGGTCATAACCTTGTAAATACCTGCAAGTGCATTCCAAAAGATAATTCAAAGTCAATTCCAAAGTAACAGATTCAGCATGAGATCCGGGGATTGACTGAATTTTACCCTGCAACTTGTCCATTGGAAGTCCATGGCCTCCATTCATCCACTATCTCGTATCCGATCGATCTTGTCCAGGCTTCAGTCCCGGTGAATGGAACACACATATCATGATCCCCACTGCAACAAAAGTTGAACACAAACTATTTATAAGAGAATCCAGCACTCATTTTACCTTCAAACCCGAAATTCAGTAAAAGAAACCTGTATATGAGTGCTCGATATCCCCTGGAAGTAAGATTCTTGTGATACTTGATCATGCTGCCGGCATCATGGTTATATAAAATGTTGTCCGTACATAACTCCCATTCACCGATCGCAGCCTCCTATGTGTTGAAGGATCATAAAATCATTCTTTTTTTTTTGGAAAACAAGGAGAATAATGACTTTGAGACTGCTTACGTTTTCAGCATGAATTGCCTTCCTAACTGCAGGGTCATTCAGCCATTTTGTTGCTACTTCATCATCCTACGCAGTTTTTGTAAAATTTTGAATATGTAATTTATCAATATACTTCCAATAAGATAGTTTGATACGCGTAACGAATAAATAAGAACAATCACATCGGTTGTATGAGTCGGATCTTGACTGAAAAGAGTAGATGAAACTATAAACTAAACTCCTTAAGAGCAAAGCTACAAATTTCGTGAGAAACAAGTTTCGAATAAGCAATCTTCACATGGAATAAGTTAAACTTACAGTGCACGGAACACTTAGGCTATTGAGAAGTTGTGGCCACGTTGGAACGATTCCATCTCTTACAGGAGCTCTAACTGGCCAGGCACGGCCAAACATCCTTGTCCTTACAGCAAGAGGCCTGTCGGTCTCACCGAGCTTTCGGAAGCTCGAAGGTAGTCCGGTAGTCTCGGGTGTTTCGGGGCTATGATAACAAGGTTCTAGGATGTTGTATATGTTTAATTGCCTTATGTTCTGCAATTAATCAAACGTTTAGAATCAAATAAAAGAAAATGCAAATTCTAACTATCCGAACTTTCCCGGTTAAACAGGCTATTACCTGATCAACTTTTTCCAGTTTGCTCTCACAAGTTTCAGTGAGTGGATTATAGAAATTACCCTTGCACTCATTTTTAGCCTCCTGGAAAAATATAGATTGAACTATCAGAACTATGTTTTCAGGAAATAGAACTATGACCTTTTCTTCAGTCCAGCACTTACAACAAGTTAGAATGCAACCGCTTCCGATAGTAATCCGGAAACTTTCAAAAGAAATCTATAGAAACAAATGAAAAACAAGTGTAAAAGTTCAAAATTTTTGGTGACCGAGTTACAAAATCTTGGGTTCCTAGGTACACTATAGTTGCTTAATCACATCTCTTTATTGGTGAAGCTCCTAACTCTATTACATTAAAAACCACACCTTATGCCATCAGAACATGCATTTCTTACAAGTATTAGTTATCGAACTTAAATTTACTCATTAAAAGCGGTAAAACATCAAGCATATCGAGTAGATTCGGGTCAAAAGTATAACAAAAAGTTCAAAAACTTTTACTGCAGCAGAATTTCAGAACAAGTAATTACATATAGTACTGGCACCTTCCATAAGGTGCCATTGAAGGAAAAATCTAGTGTCATAAAGGAACAAGAACTAGCACAAGATATATCTATGAGGACTGCTCACCTCGTATAGGTCATCTGAAATCAGGCCCATTCCATGAGCAAATGGAACAAGAGCATTGCCATCAAAGTCATCATCTGCGACTCCGTTTCCCACAAGGTATCCCTGTGTGACATATTCAAATTGCAGCTAGAATGCACGTGTTTTCAGTTTAAACATCAACCAAAATACTCTCCATAGAAACTCGTACCTTGAAATTAAGAACAGGCTTTGTGTGAGCATCGATTCCTGCAAAAGAGTCGTACTGCACTTTAGATTCATCCTTTCGACTTATTAAAGTTTAAACTAAGAGGATATTAGATATACATACATTATACATACCTTTCACTACTTCAAAAGATAGAGTAGGCACATATATTCCAGCATACGACTCTCCGGCAATAAAAAAGGTGTTCGAGAGGAACTCGGGGTATAGCTCGAACCACTGTTACACAACAGATACTTGAGACTCAAGTATCACCCCAAATAAAGAACTTGAACAATAATAATGAGTAAAATTTGTTACATAACCTTGAACAGAAATGCATGGGTGTCAATGGCAGTCTGTAGGTCACCAGTCGTATAATCGCTTTCATTCTTCGAATACGAAAACCCGACCCCAACTGGAGAATCTAAATATATAATGTTGGATACCTGAAATGAGAAGTAAAAAAAAAAATCCTGTTAACTTTACTTTTACCACAATGAGGAAATGAGCATAACAATACTGAAAATCTAGTAACCTTGGACCAACTATAGAGATTGAGCTGCAAATGGGGCAAACTCTCATTTTTCTTAGGTGATTCAAAATTGAAAGGCCCTGTAATGAACAGTCAAAAAAAAAGATTTTTCTTTGTCAAAATGATTGTGAAACATTTTATGCTTCATGTAAGAATATACCATGCTCGTAAACAAAGCCGTCAAAGCTGGAGCATCCAGGTCCACCATTGAGCCAAAGAACCACTGGGTCCTCTGATGGCTTCCTTTCAGATTCCACAAAATAGTAAAACATGTTCTTCCCATGATTTTGATCAATATTCACATACCTTCAAGAACCAAAATGAAAAGCAATGAACTAGAAAAAAAAGATGAAATTTATATACAAAAAAGCTGGAGTGAGGGAATACCCAGAGTAGTGTTTGGAAGGAAAAGTGCCGGAAAACCCAGGAAGTTGAGTGACAAGTGCACCCTCAGGAGCTGACTGACTGAATACCACTAAGCCACAGAAGAGGCAAAAGCATATGAATTTGTCAGTCATTGCTACAGCTTTTTTTAGTACAAGTTTTCAGGGTGGATTGATTGATGATATTTTGTGTGGGATTTAAAGAGTTCGTTGTTTCTGAAATGTACTTGAGAATATTTGTTTTGGTTCAAGACAATGACACGAAATGATGGTTTGTTCCTTTCGCGTTGTTAAAAGATTTTGCATGCTTTCAAGGCAAGAAAACATAGGAGAGATACAACGGATATTACAAACTTATATACGGTTAAGGAAATGTGTTATTAGACATGTTAATATTTTTTAATATTTCCGGTAAAGTATTACTTAAAACATTATTTTTTCTACTGAAAATGTTAATATTGAGCGCTACCTAAAATGTTATTTTTTTCTACCAGTTTCTCTACCGAAAATTAGATAACGAAATTAACATATCTAGTAAAAAAATAATGATTTAGATAGCGTTTTACTAGAAATATTAAAAAAAAATTAACATTTACGATAACGTTTTTACTTAATCGTATATTAAGTTGTCGTACAACATAGCTATCCTATAGGGGGAATATATGAATTAAGGGTTCATTTATATTTGTTTTACGAAAAAATAGATTTCTGAAAATGAATTTCATAAAATAAATTATATTTTTTAAAAATTATTTTTGGGTATTTGAATGGTGTTATGTAATTCATTTTTCATTGGATGGTAATTCTTTTAAAAAAAATATTTATTATAAACATCAAATACAATAAATAATATTATTTAATTTACAAAATAATAATAATATTTATAAAATATTAGATTAATTTATTTAATATATGTCAATATTATTATTAAAATATTATATCTATAATTGTATAAATAAAAATATTAAGATTATTATATTTTATTAAAATAAAATTATAATAAACTATATTAATTATTTATTAAAATAAGAATTAATTATATTAATTACTTAATAAAATAATAATAATAATAATAATAATAATAATAAAATAATAAAAATTATAATATGAAAATAAGAATATTATATTATATTTTAAAGAGTATATTTTAAATATTTAAATAATTCTATAATATTATTTTTATAAAAATAATAAATAAAATTAATTTTATTAATAATTTTTTATATATTATTAAAATAAAAATATAATAAAATATATTATAATAATATCATTATAACACAAAAATATAATATTATATTATTAAGATTATCAATAAATATAATTTAATAATTAATAATTTTATTAAAATTATACTAAAATAATATATTAATATTAAATATGTAAAATAATAATATTTTTAATGTTTATGCTTTGAAGTGAAAAGTTCGTAAAATGACTTACAAAAAATCAGACCGTAAGACGTTTTTCATAAAATACAAACGAAATTTAGTTGATCAGGAAAATAAATTACATTGATTATCTGTTTTCAACTAATCGAACACTAAAAAATAAGGAGATAAAATTAGAAGAACCAATTACAATTAAATAAAGAGAAAATAAACACACCCTAAGTGATCCAATGAGACCCAAACCACTTGATAATGACACTTGAGGCTCTGAGTTTGAGGTTGCGGTACGATTACCGAAGGTAGCAATCATATCCCCATTACTATAAATAAAAATACCATACACAACGGTCAATGCCTTAGCCATTACTCTATTTTTCTTTTAAAAAATATATTTCAACCTTAGCCATTACTCATTTACTTATAATAATGGCAATGCCACTATACCTGTTTAACGCAAGGAGAAAAGCATATATTAGCCAGCAAAAATACACGTGAAATGCTTTTGATTCTTGTAGCTGAAGCATCTCTTCTCTGGTTCATATCTGACATGAACACAAACCGTGGCAGAGCTATATGATGTTTAAGGCCGGCACGTGCCCCTGAAATTTAAAATTAATTTTATTAAATTTTTAATTTTTATAGATGTACCCGTCCTGAATTTAGTTTGTACCTCCCAAAATTTATTTATACCTAAAAGTAACTAAAAATGCCTATTATAAACATTATTTTTATTTGTGTTTAAAAATTCTTTCATCAATTCCGAATCAAAATAAACCTAAAAATATATCTAGTTAAAACTCAAACCCAATATGCAATTCAAATTTGATATACAATCCAAATCCAATACCCTTAACCTCAATAGCAATTGGTAACGATCAACTCAACTCCCTTCAAATTCAGTTTGAATCCAATACCGGAAAATGGTAAAATCATTACATATTCTCATATTTCAACGGGGTTAATCTAGAAAAATTCCAATAACATGATAAGACTATAATCTGTCAAAAAAATTATAACACAACCTAAAAATCTGAAGAAAAAAATAGTCTACAAACCTACAAAAAAAGTAGAGAAGAATTAACAGAAGAAACTAAAATAAATAGAGAAAATTTAAAGAAAATGTCAAACCTTTATTGAGATTTTTCGGTGACGGCGAATATCTTCAACCATGAATTCGTACGGTGAGCAACTACGACGAGTAGACAAATATTCTCTGAGACCACATGGATCATACGATGGAACAACTTTCTAAAAATCAAAATATTATATTTGAATTAATTAATATATATCAAACATAAATTTATAAATATCAAACATAATATCAAAATAATATATATATATATTAATTCAAAGAAATTTTTTTATGCATACTAAATCAAAGAATTAAAATTTACTAATACTAAATCAACATATAATCAAATTACTAAATCAAATCTATATTTCATAACATTAATTAATAAGTACATTTTAAAAATTAAAATAATATATTTTGAATCAATCAAAGAATTAAAATCTATAAATAATTTTAAATAATTGATAAAAATATTAATATTATATATCGTAACCTATTTCTTAGTGAACCATGACATTCTCGGCGTATATGTATTTGTTATATATATTCATAACATTTTCAGCTTTTAACTTTTTTTCTTATCGTTGAAATGTCTTAGGCCCACCAGTTTAAACTCTGATAACTTTTTATGTGAAACCTAAAATGTTAATAATATTCATAATATTTACCGATTATAACTCATTTTCTTACCATGTATAACATTTTAGTGCAACCTGTAGATGCTCGTTTTTGTCCGGGGCTAGGACAGAGTAGACCCGAAGCAGAGCAATTGGAGGCCCAAACCAATGACCCGGTAGAGCAGCTCACGTGAAGCCCTGGAAAACCAAAAAATAGTTATCATGAATTAACCACTAGAAACTGTAAATGGTGGTTTTAATTTTCAGTTAACCACTAAAGAAAGTGTCAGTTTTTTTTAGAGGGGATTAACCACTGAAAAGGAGGGAGCATTGGAGGGAGAGGATCACAAATTACAGAGACAGGGAATTATCGGAGAGAAATATCGGCCATCACGAGAGGAAGACGAAGGGAACCAGAGACCATTTTTTTTAAAAAAAAAAACAGAAAGCACAAAAAATTGTGGTCCCATTTTTCCATTCTTCTTTTACACAATAGAACAATAAGGAAAACATAAGCAATGTAAACAACATTCCTTTTCCCGTATTCAAAGAGCAAGCAGTGTAACAGGGGTTTTCCATACCATTGTCGAAGCAATACAAATTTATTGAGGTATTTTTTATATTGCATTTTTTTTACTTTCCAGTGCTTTTATGTATGTTTAATAGTGAAATATGAGTGAATAAAATAAGAAGAGAGGGGTCGATTACCTAGTTAAGTGTCGGTCGCCGGAGTTGAGACCATCGGAGGGGAGAGGCTCGAGCGATCAAAAGGGTCCTACACCAAATAGGGTTTGTCTCCTTTATTTTTCTAGAGTATAAAGAATAAAAATATAGTTTCGATTTTGCTTACCTTGTTGGGTTGGGTTCTCGCCGGAGTGATGGAATCTCGGTGGTGCATGAGATGAGTGAGAGAAAAGTGAAGAAAGAAGATGTTAAGGGTTTGGTTATGAGAGATTTGGAGAGGTTAGCTTAGGTTTTGATTACTGGGATTGTTTTTTTAGAAGAATGAGAGAGGTTACGGCTAAGTAAAAAAGAAAAGAGGAGACCAAATGGGCTTCAGGGCAAATTGTAGTCTAAAATAATATAATAATATATATATATATATATAAATTCATTGAAACAACAACGTTTAGCCTTAGATGAACCCGCGTCTGGTAAGTGGAGTAATTATATGCGTAGTCCATTATCGTTTGACATGTTGTGTTTTGGTCCTTAAATCAGTCTTTTACGTTTTCAATTTAGCCTTCATATTTTAAGCGTTTTACATTTTAGTCCAGTTACATATTAGGGCCATTTTTGCACTGTTTTTATATTGGTTGTGTAATTTATAGAACTTTCATTTTGGTCCTTGAACGAATCTTTTGCGCCTTTTTAATTTGGTCTTCATATTTATGAGCGCTTTTCATTTTAGTCCTGAAATGTTTTTTTTGTTTATTTTTGAAATATAATTTGTAATTTTGGTTGTTTGACAATTTAGGCACTTAGCATGTATTTTTTTTGTTAATGGTTAATTCTACTTTGCATGCTTAGTTTAATCTTACTTTATTCTGATCCTTCATGGTAATTTTGAATATGAAATCGAATTTCTAATAGTATGCTTTATTGTATATATTGTTTTATTTTAATGTATGCCAATGTCGTTGTATGCATGTATATACCATATCACCATACTTTATTTTAGACTTAGGTGTTCATTTGAATAAAGGATATTATTTAATTAATTTTTACATGACATTATTTTGCATAATTTGCATGATAGCCGCACGCGCATAACTCGACTTATTATATAATCGGACTAAGGGTAATACCCTTTTAATTTAAAATTATTGAAGTGGGCAGTCATAACTGATTTGAGGTCCTCTTTTAATGATTTTAAAATAAAAGTGTATCCCGAAAGTGAAACAAAAAAATTGATTCGTCACCTAAAATTTGGGAACGAGAGAAAAAGAAATGTTCGTTTATTTAAATATATCAAGAAAATGTTGTTATATCTTTAAGATCTGGTCTCGATATTTGTAAATAATCGAACATTCTTTATCTTCCTAAAACGACTTGGTAATTTTAATTTAATTTATTTGAGTGCTTTTGAATGTTTTAAATTTATATCTTTGTTTTATGGGATCAAAAATAAAATTAAATTCGAATTTGTAAAGTTCATTGCAAAGACGTTAATTAATCGACTAGGTACCGATTTAGGGCGTTGTGGGGGTGCTAATCCTTCCCCAAACGTAATCGACTC